TTGAAACCTCCTATAATTATCCTTTCATGTAGTTTTATCTTTTTTCTTATGATTTGTGTTCTTCTTATTAAAAATGATTGGTAGACTTGAAATGGATGCCTCCAAGTAATCATGCACAGTTTAACTTACATCTTCAAATATTGCATAGCTATAGAAGATTCCCTTTTTAGATCGCTTCACCACTCGCCTTGATTTCAACAGTGATTGAAAGCACTTCCTGAAAATGAAAGACTTGGGCCATCTTTAATTCCAGCAGTTACTCTCAAGAATTCATTTTTAAGTTTCCTAATTAAAATTTTGTTCTATATTCTGCCTATTAGAGCATGCTTTATTTTTTTTCCTTCAGTAGAAAACTAATTATCCTGTGTACCCTTTTGAAATGCTTTTAAATTAAAAATAAATGGGGAAAAAAACTTTACTTAAAACTAAAATTGAATTTCATAAATCAGTTTCTGGGATAATGAATAAGGATATGGGGATATGGGTTCCAGTTGTGTAGAATTTTATGAAGTGCTGGGGAAATTTAAAAGGACAAGCCAGTGTGGAAGTACAGTTTTATTTATATTAGAATGATTCAAGATTCTTTATCCACTCAAAAAGCATTTATTAAGTACCTACTATGTACCAGACACTATGCCAGATGCTAGGGATACAAAAAAAATGAAACAAGTCCCTGCTCTCACAGATTTCCAATCTCCTGAGAGTAAATGAACATGTACACAGGTAAGTAAATGCAAAAATATACATACATGTATTTATGTACGTATACACACAATTAATACATTTCTGGGGGGGTTAGAACAGAGCACTGAGGTTTGGGAAGGGAGAGGAGGAATCAGGATGTACCTGTTGTTTAAGGATGGGGCTCTTAAACTGAGTCATGAGAGATTCTAAGAGGTGGGGTTGAAGAGAGTGCATTCCAGACCTAGGAGATAGCCGTTCACTGTGGGTTTCAAAGTTTCAGGGTGATAGATGAAAAGTCATGTATGCGGAATAGCAAATAGGCCACTTTGGCCAGAGTATAGAGTACATAAAGGGGAGTAACATTGTGGTAAGCCTGTGAGGTTGGATTGTGATGGACTTTAAATGTCAAACAGAGGAGTTTGTATTTTATCCTGGAGCTTTCTGAGCAGAGGTGTAACACAATCAGACCTATGCTTTAGGAATAGCCATTTGGCATCTGTGTGAAGGATGAATTGGAGTGGGGGTGGGTGGGGGAGGCTTATGGAAGACAGACCAATGAACAGGATATTGCAATAGTCCAAGTGAGAGGAAGTATGAGTGGTGAGAAGGTTTGAGGGATGTTGTGAAGGTAAAGTCAGCAAGATTTAGCAACTGATTGGCTATGGAGAGGGCCATGGTTAGGGAGAAGGGAAGAGTCAAGGAGAACTCTTGAGTTCTGGGTGCCTAGAAGAATGGCGGACGGTGTACTTGACACAAATAGGGAAGTTAGGAAGTGGGATGAGTTTAGGTGGTATGATAATGCGTTTGGTGTGAAATACCAACTGGACATCTTGTTGGAAATGTCTAATAGGCAGTCGGTGATTTGGGAACTAGAGTTGAGGAGACTCTAATAGGTTGAATCAGATATAAATGAGAAGTTTGACCTAAATGAAACTGATGGATTGAACTTTTATTTGTGCTCTGGATGGTCTCCATTTGTATTATTGGCTCAGATATTCTAATAAATATCTAACTGTTCAAACTTAAAAACAACTTTAAAATTCTATAATTGGTAGATTCTACTCATAGAAAATTCGAAGACTCAAGGTAAATTTTTGCTTTTGGGGATACAGGCTATAGAATGTTCATACCTTGTTTATCCTTTTTGGTCAGGAGAAATGCATCTTTGCATTGAAAAAACAAAACAAAACAAAAAACTCCACCACTTTTTGCTAAGACTACGGGATCTTTGAACAGAGTATCTTAATTTTATTCAAATAGAGAATCAGCTCAACCAATAATTATTTTTTGAATGCCGTCTATGTTGTGAGGTGATATCTTAAAGCTTATTTTCACAACTCAATTGGGAATGCGACATTTATTCATAGCCTGAGGGGTGGTCTGATTGGGAAATACCTTCTGATTTTTCTGAATGTTGGAGGCAGCCTGTTGGTCACCCCACTCCATTCTGATTCTCCTCACCTTCCTGTTCATTTTTTCCAGCTGAGCAGGGCTAGTTGATATCTTTTGGTAGTCTAGTCTCCCTCAAAGAATCACAAACCTGGTCATGCTTAAACAGTTTTGCTAATTCTGAACCATAAAAGTTCTACTCCCTTCTCTGATTCTTTGGTTTGAGGGTAAAAAGTGCTGGTGGAAGGATCCACTAATACTCCTTCCTTTGCTTGTGACCACAAGGTTGAAAAGTGTTGTTGATACCAATTGTTCATGTGTTGAAAGTGTATTATGTTCTGGTCCCCGGTATCACCCCTCCCCACCCCACCCTCCCAAACCCTCTCTTAGTTACTGTAGTAAATATGTCAGCAGCCAGTATAAGATAACAATGGTAGGAAGTAAGAATATAAAGGGGAACATAAAAGTCACTTAAAAATACTTCCATAAATTATGGGAGCATAACAGGTACTTAGGAGCTGTCAAATAAATTAGAGGAGCATAGGAACCAATTGCAACGGTCTTTTTAACTGAGGCTGCATCCTGAGACAATGTGCTAAATTAGGGGAAGCCAGCTAGACCTTAATGTAATGGCACTTGAGTCTATAAACACACATGCAAAATGTTATGTAAATGACCTAACCATAAGGTGGTGTTGATAACTTTGAGATGATGTTAGTATGTTAATGAAGTAAACCTAAGGTGACGTGGATAAAAGTTGGTAAGTCTTCTAACTCCAAAACTATAAAAATGGACCCCAAACTCCTGCCCCTTAAACATTCCACCTGCTACAGGTGCATGCAGCCCAAGTGCTCCCATTCAATCAGCTATTACATAAGTGATTCTCTTTGTCCCTTTCCTTCCCCTTCTCTTCCCCATGATGCCTACCTGCCTCTACCACCCCATTCCCTGAGTGCCTTATACTCTCCTCTATGACTGCTTCTGTATTCTTCGTGCTTTATTAAATTGTGATTGAAGTATTACTTTCCACTTGCTGCCATGATGATCTTTCCTGAGTATTCAAAAAACTGGACATGTTTGCCCTGACCCAACAGGAGCCCCATTAATCGGTTCCCTTCACTTAGGTTATAAACCGGATGGGGCTCAGGGTTGAGAGGATTTGATGTTCATAGCTGCCCCTATTGTGGATGAGGATGGCACCGTGAATCTGTTGGTAAAAAGGAAGGGCGGACAAAGGACTTCATGCTCTCACCTCAGGATAGAGTGTTGGGTCATAATAAATCAATGAACAATTCAGTACTCATCAAGGTGGGATAGTGCCTGTTATGGGACCTTTAGAGTTCCTCCTGTTTTCACAACTTCTGCATGTGCCTTCTGTAGCGGTGCATGCCATTACCAAGTGTATGTGGCTTACATGGGTACTCTTAATGGGGCTATCAAAAGATATAGCAGGAAGGCCATTTTTAGGACTTGTTCTTACTGCTTTGGAAAATATTAATGTGATGTTTACTTTGTACTAGGTGACTTTTGAGGGAAGTGTAATAGAAAGGAGAAGCCCTTTCATCTGTTTCCTGGAAAGGTTCTCTAGATGCTTTGACTCAAGTTTCTTGAGAACTTCTTAAACTCATGTTTCAAACACTAAGTCATATTTAAGCCATATCTTGGCATTTAAGAAGAGATGAGAGGCCCCTCTTTTCACATAAATTCCTAGAAAAAGCTGTCTGCACTTATTGCCTGCATTTCCTCTCCTTTTGTCTACTTCTCTGTCTGATTTTTGATCTCCTCACTCAACTGAAACTGCTTCTTCCATTTATTAACTGCTAAATATGATTACTTTTCTCAGTCCTTTTAGCCTTCTTTATTTCTCTGTAGCAGTGGACACCACTGATCACTTTTTGGTTCCTCCCTCCTCTCTCTCTTTTCATGATACTGTATCTTCTGATTCTCCTGTCACCTGTCTGACTGTTGCTAACTTGGTCTGCTTTACTGGATCATCATCTGTGTCTCACCCCAAGGGTCTGTCTTGGATTCTTTGATTTCTTTTTCTATATCTATTTCTATATATCCATATCTATAGCTATATAGATCTATATATCTAGATATGCCATTTTCTGTTATGTCTAAAAGCTTTAATTATATATTATTTTATTTACCTCAGGCCCATGGATAAAAAATATCCCATACAAGAGGAATTAGTAGGGGAAAAAAACTTGCTAAATTATGAAGGTTCTATGGGCCATGAGCTCACCAATGATCTCTTGGCCAAAACTATGTTTGTTTGGTCTCCTTTCTAATTGAACTGAGAGTGTTTTGGAGAAGTGTCCAAGCATAATGTGGCACAGGACTTGAAATCAGAAACATTGGGTTTGATTCTTGCCTCAGCAAAACTATAACCAGGGTAGGACAGCCTGGGCTTTATCCAGGGTGCCGAAAGTGGAAAGGTTCTGTCTGATATCACTTGACTCTTTTTGTAGAATGGAAATGACTGCGCTTAACACCTAGTTAGAACGAATTATTAGTTAAACTAGCAAACTCCCAAATGGCATGTCATAGCTGTGACTCATTTGAAATGCCTCTGAGTCCTCCCCTTAAAGTGAAATCCTGGTCTGTGGCTTTGTAGTGTTCTAGTGTTTCTGTTTCCCCACTTCACATTTCAGCCTTCCTCTGCTGAATTGCCTTGGTGCAAAAATTGGTATTTATCTCTCTATACCACAAACTCTACCACACTGGCTGTGTGATTATGGGCTAGCTGTTTCACTCTCTCAGTTTTCTTTTCTGTGAAGTGCGATTAACACTTGCGCTCTTTACTTTGCAGGGTTTTTGTGAGGCCATACCTTTGAAAACCTTAAAATGATATATACATGTTAGCTGTTTTTCATGTGAGTGAAGAAACTGGGTGATACTCAAAAGCATTAGACTTTCAACACTTTAATGAGAGCCATCTATATTATCATCATTATTATTCCTATTAACATTATTATTGCATTATTAAACCAAAATGCCACAGTATTACATTCTGTGATGGCTACGATAAACTCCACAGCTCTCACAATTTCATCCCACATTCTTCTAAATGCCAAGGTTATTGTAAACATATACATTGAAGAAGTCACGACTCAGATCAGACTAGCATTAGATAGCAGTTATGTTATCCAAGGAGAAGCTTCATCGTTAATGCAAATCTAACTTACACAGGTGACTGTGACTTACCTATGAATAAGGTAATTGACAAACCGGGATCATGTATTTTAGAATTGATGGCCATTCTAAGAGAGATTATAATACTTAAATGTGTCTATGAGTGACGTGTCTCATTTTAGCACTAGTCAAGTGTCAAAGTGTGTAGCAATAGATTATAAATCATGGGACTTGATTTCCCACCGTGATATCAAATTTAGAATATTTCAAATAGATTTTAGCCAGAAGTCTTCGTGTTCATTACATAAAGTGGCAGATTTATTCTCAGTAGCTAAGTTTCCATTTAAAGTGCTACATCTCCGCAGAAACTTCTTAATAAATCTGAGTTTTCTCACTTGCTGTTTTGGCAGTTTTCTCTCAGGGGGAGGAGCAAAAGTCCATATGAAGAGTAGCAGAACATTATGGTTTTGTCATCTGTTGACTCTTCTTTGCCATAGGAAAACATACTGTGATAATAATCTCTATCTTTAACTATCATTAGGTCTGTCTATGAACTGTATGTGATTAGAGAGAGTTGTTTAGGGTATGTTATTTAGTAACCCCAATTATAATCAAGTAAACTTGACCAAAATTTACACATTAAAGCCAGTTTTTAGTAGCATCTAGACCAGTGGTTCCTAACATTTTTTTGCCCTGGGAACTCATTTCAACAAAAACAATTTGCTCTGAACCCCTGGGGTAATTTAATATACTACTCATGATATTCTACAATTATTTAATGCTTAAGGCACCATTGAAGAATTTTGAACTCCTTGGAACATTACTGAGGACTCCCAAAGGTTCACAAGCCACTAAATGGGAACTGCTGATCTAGACAACATCAGAAACCTATGAGAGGAAAAGAAATAGTTGTGTTTTTTCCCCTTCCCTAGCTATATGTACATTTTTGTGGTACACAGTTTTGTTCTACATTGATGAAAAGACTCTCCCAGTTGTCTATTTACACAGCACTGCTAAATTTTGCATCTGTCTGCTCACTGCTCTCAGGGATGACTGACTTGAGGGCAGCATGACAGAAACGATTTAGGGCTGACAGGTTGCTTTTCTGTTCAATGTACAGCCTCAGTTTTTCTCTAAAAGTTTCCCCAAGAAAGCTATAGATAAGTGGGTTTAAGCAGCTGTTTGAGAATGCTGCTAGGTTAACTATGTGGCCAGTTAAAGGGTAGGCATGGCGAAAAGACTGTTTGCATGAAGAAATTGCTGGCTCCTTTCTTTGCAAGAGATGTACACTAATGAAGACATTTTCGGGTAGCCAGCAGATAAAGAAAACCAGGACCACAGCAAAAATCATTCGGAGGGCCTTTTGCCGCCGCAGTCGCAGGCTCTGGTGCTTGTGAGCCTTGATGAGAACTCGGACGATGAGTGAGTAACAGAGACCAATGATGGCAAAGGGGATAATGAACCCCAAGGTAATCTCAAGCCACTGGATTTCTTTCACATCAGCAAAACAGAAGCAGACCTCCTCTGTGTGCTGCAAATGAACAGCTGTGAAAGGAACCAGGGTAGCAGAGATAGATGCCATCCAGATGAGGCCACAGCTCAGCCGGGCATGGTGCTTTGTGCGAAAAAGGCTGGATCGCATGACCTTCACTAGGGCAATATATCGGTCAAAACTCATCCATGTCAGGAAGAAAATGCTGCTATACATGTTAATTTGCAGGAACAGAGACATGAAGGTACAGAGGATTGTGATGTCATAATACTTCTCATCTAGGTTAAATACTTCTATCAAGGAGTCGGCCACCAGGATGAGATCCGCCGCTGCAAGGTTGATGAAATACAGATCAGGGATTGTCATCTTTTCACGAAAGCTGATGTTCACTACTAATATTAGTATGTTTCCCACAAAGCCAATAGGGAAGAGGAAGATAGTGTAGAGACATGAGAGGAAAAGACCAATGACATATTGTTGGTGTTCGTATTGGTCGTTGACTTGTTTGAAAGGGTCAGTTTCATTGAGTAGGTGTGATCTGTTCAGTTCAAAGGATGTACTATTGTAATCTATTGGTGACAGGGTACCTGCATAATAAACTTCCATGATAAAAGCTCTTGCTTGACAGATTACAATAAGTATTTCCACTCTGGTTGTAAATGCCCAGTACTGCTAAATTTTTATGATTTTTCAAAACGTTCACAAAAGTCTGTTTTGAACTTTAGGTATGTCTGATTCATCTTCAGAAAAAAAAAATCAGTCTCTGGGCTGAGGATAGTCAGTATTGGGTAAAGTCAGAGGAAGCTTGTCATAAATAATCTTTCTAGGTTTTTTAATTTATTGGTTGCAAAAAGGTCATTGGTTACCAAAGAGAGGGAAAATGGGTGCGATTGTAGGCAATTCTTTAAATTGGAAAGCCTTTAAAGCTGGAATCACATAGGTGGTTTTTATTGTTGTTTTTAATCTTAAAGGTTATAAAGTCCTTAATTTGTCTTAAGTTGTCTGTTTTCTTCTTGTGTAATTTTAGATCAGCCATTCACACCTGCCCTTTGATGTTTCTTGACTATCTGGAAACCTAGGAGAAGTAAATAGAAAAGCATTACCTTCTCATTCCTAGCTACAGCTTGGCTCAAACACCAGTGTACTTCTCATAAGGAACAGTTTGCTGTTGGCCAGTTCTCTCTAGAGCAATGTATGACACAGAGAGTTAAATAAAGACCAGAGCTTTTTGTCGTGTTATATTGGAGAGATGGTTCATGTCGAAAGTGTGCTGACGGATTATGAGAGAAATGTGGTCTTTTTTTTCCCCTGCGGAGTTGAAATGCTGCTTAATCTGAGCTGGAAAATAGTCAGTTAAAGTGATTCATCTTTCTTTTATGCAACATATTCCTTTGTTTTTATAGCCAAAATAGCATTCTTGTTAAAACAGCATGGCTATTTGAGTAGGAAAACCTTAGGAAAACTACTACCACAGACAGAGGAAATTAACTTGGTTTAATCAGCTGATGGAGAATGAAGGAGGATGGGAAGGGAAAATAACCAACTTTTATGAAGGATAAGATAGCATAACTAGGGAATTTAACATGAAACAAAATTAAACCTTTTATACTTTATTTTCTGTTTCAACAAAATCTGTAGAAGATATTTTGCTTTTTGACAGTGATGAGGCTGAGTGCTGAAACTGAAACAATGGAGTTTTAGCTCACACAGTGAAGCAAAGTTGACCTTAGGGAACTCAAAAAAAAAAATCAAACAAGTTAAATTCCTGATAATTTTAAAATTAAATGCCATTAACAAGTCAGGTTACTAAAAGTAATTGTGCCTTGTAATGCCATTTTTAACCAGTAAGTATGCTTTCTATAAATAGTTTTTTAATAGCACTCATCTGTCACATAATATAGTTAGATGTATCTTCTGTACTTGTTTTCCTCATTTAGTTGCATTTTAAAGATTATGTTGTTTCCGAGATTTCTTAAGAATGAAATAATTTTTTTAGTTTAAAAGTTTGCCCTTACTTATGGTTGGGAACTAGTTTAGCTATTTATCAGTAAACAATGATTATCAGCATTTTTGTTTTAGCATACTGTCATTTGATTTCATAGTTATCTTCAAAGTTGTATGGGAAATATATTTATTTTTCAGTTTAAAGTAAATTAAGTTTAAATTTTGTTTTGAGAGTTTTTTTGGACATCCCTTATAGACTTCTCAATTGAGATATTCCAAAAGTAGGGTTGAGATTCCTTTTCCTACAACTTGAGAATAACTATGGTATTTTGTGACTTTAGCTGTGTATTGGTGAGCTTGGATTGTTATTTGAAAACGTTCAACAGCCTTTGTTTGGCTTAGCTTAATAAAGATCTATTTACTTAGTATGTCACATAAATTTGTCTTTATTAGGTGTTGTTTTTCTGTCTTCATTCATTCTTGGGTAGATAATCCTTGTTTGAACTACATGACTATGACTGTTCTGCACTTGCATTCTGACTGCAATATTTAAAAATCTCTGTATTTAGTTTCATTTTAAAAACTGTTTTTAAAGTTTCTTTTTCTTTTTAAACATTTGAAAGATTTTAGATTTTATTCTGGAAGAAAATTCTACAGAGATATTCTTTTACAAATACTTTCAGGATTTCACTTGTTCAAATACCCATATTTGCTAAATATACATTGTGGAAAAAAAAGACTTCTTTATTATTTCCACATATTTAGAGCCTTTGGATTCACAAATTAGTGTTAGTTTTATGGTAGTCAAGTGAAAATAAACATAAATCAAATATTAAGTTTATTACTATCTCAGTATTCCCATAAAAAATTGACAGCATATTTATAAATATATAAACCTTCATAGCTATTTTAAAATTTGATATGAAATTATGTTTCAAATCTCCACTGGTTGCGCAGTTCAGGAAAAATTAGACCAGATCTTTATCAGCTCTATTACCCTGGTAATTTCTGACACTGATTTATATTTGCTTGATCTATTTCTTTCAAAGGAATATTAATCGACCTATTATTTTTGATAGTCGGCAAGCTTTTTTATTGAAAGAGTGAGTAAAGTACTATAATACAGGTTAGAGTCTTTGTAATCCTATTTCCTGGCAATGTGATATATTGTTCCTTGAATGAAATATGCCAGATTGCTTTGTAATTTTATTTATGGCATGCTTTATAAAAATTACCTTAGTGCAAACCTTTATTTACTGTCAGCAAGTCAAGAACATTTCTCTCTACAGAGCAAAGTTTTGCTTTTATCATTCAAATAGCTGTACATGCCTGGAATTTTAGGTAGCCTCTCTCCCATAGAAAAAGTTAACCTTACCAAGAGGAACTACCAGTTCCGAAGTAATCAAGGGGCGGGGAAGAGGGTGGTCTAACAAGCAATTAAAAAATCATATCAGAGAAAGATATACTCATTTTAGACACAAACACAAGTCTTTTGGAAAAGCATCCAAGAAAACATTTGCTGTTACAGAGGACCCCCAGAATTGAGCTTTACCTGAGCAGGTCCGGTAGTCCATCCGCTTGTGTTTGTTCAAGGCAGACTCCCTTTGTCTTCATGGTCTGTGATTTTGTGTACCTTTTCAAGGATTTGTTTGTTCACCTAGGCCAGGACAGGAACAAGATGCAGGCTTAACTTTTCTGGAAAGTGGTTGGGATGATAAAACTGGCTGGGTTGGATGCTACCTGTTGAATAATTCAGTAGCAGCACATAGGTAGGAGGAAGATCACCACACCACTGTTGAAACCTGGTTAAAAACATTACCCTGAGTAAGTGACTGTCATTGCTTTTGACAGCAGATGCAGATCTTGCTGCCTGTCCTTGGCAACAAAACAGGGCTTTATAGATTTCCCAGGGTCCTTCTAATTTGTGTTCAGCTGAAGTGGTGCTGAACAGGCTTCCTTTTAAGGCTAAAATTAACCATTTTTCTGCTGGCTTTTTTTTTTTTAAACATACTGCATCCATAGAAATTTACTTTTCGTTCTTATCCCTGGCAACAAGCTAAGTCTCCTTAGGCATTTTAAAAGTGAATTTCCAGTTAATTCCCTTTTCCTGAATACTTAACCATCTCCCTACTTATACAATGTTGAACTCCTGCAGCCTCCACTCCACTTCAGGCCATTAGTACTCCTTGCCTGGACTACTGTTAATTGGTCTCCTTTCCACCAGTTTCTTCACTCCCTCATCCATCCCCAACACATTTGCCATACTGGTATTCCTAAAGCACAGGTCTGATCGTGGCATTCTCATCCTCAGGAAGCTTCTATGGCTCCCAGTTGCCTCTGAACTTTCCCTTCTATCCTTTTAGGCTGACATTACCTTACTTCCTTTCACATACTCTATTCTAGCCAAACTGGTCGGCTTGCTGTTTGGAATATAGGACTTTACATTTCCTACCTGCAAGTCTTTAGATACAAGCTGCTATTCCCCCAACATAACCCCAAGCCCCACTCCTAGTGTTTGGAACGCTATCCTTCATCTCCAGCCTCTTTTTGAGCATTGCTTAAGTACAACCCACATTCAAGACCCTTTCTACCCCCCACCTTAGCATTGCTTAAGTACAACCCACATTCAAGACCCTTTCTACCCCCTACCTTAGTTATTCTACCCCACTTTTCCTAACAGTACTTTGTATCTCCTCTGTGTGTGTTTCATGGATATAAAATAGCATGTATAGTGTTGTTCCCCTCTGTAGAATATATACTTCTTGGAGGCAGGAACAGTTTTGTCATTGTCTTCATGTCCCCACTGTGTAGCACAGTGTCCAGTAATTATTAGGCTCTTAATTAAGTAAATATTGAATTGAATGCCACTTGTCCTTTATAGTATTATTTTATATTTGTCATTATTTGTTTAAATTTAAATATTCATGTTTGGCATAGCCATTGTGCCTCATTTTAAATGCACATTTCAAATAATCTTATGTGTTTATGTAATAATTTGTACATATACATATTATATATAATTTAATCTCATACTATAGCAAAAAAGATTAAACTTTGGGAACTAACATGTAAATTGATCAAAGTAGTTCTACTTACCCAAGGTAGCAAATACCTTTGGATTCCTTCACATCCCTCATTTTATTTTCAGTTGAATCTTTGGTCTGTTATATAGTGATATTTACTTAGAGCAACCAATCTGGTATGTAATTATAACCCCACCCCTCCACATCCAGGTCAGTTAGAGGCATTTTTAATGGCATTTTACAGTCAGAGAATCAGCTTTGCTTCAGAAATGGCCAGTATATCTAAACAGTCTTATCTTATGTGTCTCATCTCTAAAAGGAATTGAGCTGACATTTCCCAGTACCCCACCTACTGGTTGATGGAATCCTGTGGAAAGAAGCTGTTAGTTCAAACCTTGTCAGATGGGCAGGGAAAACCCCATAGGATTACAGAATATTACATCAAGAAATTATCTGGTTGGAATTCCCTGGCATGAAATCTTAAGGGTTCATTTAGTTGATGGTGTCTAAGCCAAGTCAAATAGCCTATAGGCAAGTGCTTAATTTTAATATGTAGCTATAATGTATACTATTTCTGTCCTCCATCTCCTTTCCATTTCTCTTCATCAGCTCTTTGGTTTGAGTTGGATTTTGGTTATATCTTTAAAGCCCATGCAGTTATGAGATTGTGAAGCTATTAATTGTATATATTTAATAATGTAGTTTGTCACAGCATTGACGAAGAGTGCAAGAGAAAAACTGCTTTCCAAGTGAATAAAGCATTGGTAAAATATAAATATATTTATATATACAAGGTTTATATGTGTTCGATATGTTCTATGTGTGTATGTATATATATGTATGTGTTGTTCAGTTGTTTCGGTTGTATATGACTCTTCCTGACCCCATTTGGGGTTTTTTTGGCAAAGATACTAGAGTGGCTTGCCATTTCCTTCTCCAGCTCATTTTACAGATGAGGAAATTGAGGCAAATAGGGTGAAGTGATTTGCCTGGGGTCACACAGTTACTTAGAGTCTGCAGCCAGATTTGAACTCGGGTCCTTCTGACTCCAAGCCATAATGCTCTCCACTACGCTACCCTATACTATTGCTTATCCAGTATTTTGTAAAAGAGCATTTTTTGTTCAAGTCCAGGTTAGAGGACAGAATCTTCAAGGTCCCATCTGACTCCAAGATTCCATGTTTCTGGTTCTCCATATACTTCCACTTTTATGTTTCCTTGGACATTTGTTCCATGTAGTCACCTGTTGAGCAGCCTCCTGGTGTAGTAACTAGCAAGCTGATCTCAGAGTTAAGAAGAGGAGTGCTGATCTGCACCAGGAGATGGGAGGTTCTCTACCAGGGAATTCCTATAGCATGGACATTACAGGCCCAGTCATTATCCCTGTGTAATTTGCTCTGCTGGCTAGTTTTGTGATTTAAATATAAGATTGAACAACTTTGTAAGTTCAAGTATTGAGAATTTTAAGGCATTCTATATTATTTGAGACTTCTTAAACATATCAGCATAGATAAACACATGTATATGGTATAATGGAGAGTTAGGATGGCAGAGTAGAGCCTTGGGTTTACAGTTAGAGGATTTAGGTTCAGATTCTGACTATCCTCCCCTGACTTTGTGACCCTAGGCAAATCATTGAATTTCTCTGTGCCTCAGTTTCCTTGCTTTTCATCCCAGTATAATGTCAGTTCTTAACTTTTTTTGTGTCCTGGACCCCTTTGGCAGTCTGGAGAATCCTGTGAATCCCTTCTCAGAGTAATGTTTTTAAGTACATAAAATAAAATACTTAGGATTCCAAGAAAAGCCAATTAAATTAAAATACAGTTATCAGAATATTAAGAATAAGTTTACAGACTTCAGATTAAGAACCCCTGCTCTATAGTAAAATGGCTTAGTGATTTTGTCAGCTCCCGTGGATTCAACGACCAGGTCTGCGCTGATGATTGTCAAATCTAATTTATCCAGCCGTAATCTCTCTTTTGAACTAGTCACCAAATGCCTATTGGGTATGTCCTGTAGACATCTCAGATACAACATGTTCAAAATAGCTCATTATCTTTCATCCCAAGCACTCCCCTATTCTCAGATCCCCATTAAAGTTGAGGGCACCTCTAAGATCTTCCCAGTCATACAAAATTTTATTGTGATTTAAATATAAGATGGAACAACTTTGTAAGTTCAGGTATTGAGAGTTTCGCCTCTAAGATCCTCACAGCATACAAGATTGTAACCTCATTGTCACCCTTAACTTTTCAGCTGTATGTACTGCATATAGGCTATCTATTCTCATCTTGTCATTCTACCTTCACGGTGTCTTTTTTTTGTGTTCCGTTTTCTCTACTGACACAACATCATCATACTGGTTTAGGCCTTTACCATTTCATACCTGAGCTATTGCAATAGCCCACTAGTTGGTTTCCCTGTCTGAAGCTTCTCCCTCCTCCAGGCCATCCTCTTCTCAGCTGCAAAGGTCATCTTTGTACTGCACAGGTCTGACAATGCCATCCCCTACTCAATAAACTCCATAGGTTCTCTTTTACCTCCAGAATCAAATATAAAATCCTCTCTTTGTCTTTCAAAGCCCATAACTACCTGGCCTCTTCCTACTTTTTCAGTCTTCTTACACTTTTCTTCTTCTGGGTACTCAATGACAATAGCCTTCTTGCTGATCCTCACAATGAACCTTCATCTCCCTTTGTTATATCTACTCTTTTCTTTTTCAGTGACTCTCTTCCATGCTTAGAATTTGCCCTGGTCCTCTTCCTCCTGGCTTCTTTCAAGATTTAGCTCAAATCCTGCATTCTACAATAAGCCTTTTCTGGTTACACTTATTGACAGTACCTTCTCTCTGATATTACCCCCCATTTACACTGTGTATCTTTTTTATTTGTGGTTGTTTGCATATTATCTCCCCCATCTCTCCTCCTAGAGGACAGAGACCATGTTTTTTACTTTCATTGTATCCCTGAAACTTATTGCAATGCCTGGCCCATATTCTTGTGGATGATGAAGAAAAATTAGGTGATCTCTAAAGTACCTCCTAGCACTTAAGTTTTATGATCTTATATATTTATATGTGTGTATATTATCTCTGCCCCACACACATAAGATATGGCTACATATTATATCACATAGAATATATATACATATGCATCTTGTCACAAAATCTTATCACTTATTAATATTAATAAAACATTAGATCCAATTAATTATTAATTTTTTTGGTTTTTATAAAAACCCAATGAATAATAAGAAGCACGTTTTATTTTGGCCTTTTTTTGGACAGCTTTGAATGTCAAATCATTCCAGTGTTAAAAATGCCTGAAACACCATTTTGAAAGAAGTCATGAGAAAGTACAAATTCATCTTGATATTTAAAAAAAAAACCTTGCCAACTCTTTAAACAGCCAAGATATGTCACTTAAAAATAGACATTGCACATGTGTGTTGAAGGAACTGCTTTACACAAAATTTATCTATTCTTTTGATTGTGATTTAGGAACATTTTAAAGTTTCTAGTATAGCTTCTGACCCTATTACCTTGCATATTTTTCTGTTTCCATAGTGGTGGATAATGGTCTAATCGTCTTACAGGTGCACCCTGATATATGCAATAAGGTGTTTCTGGCATCATCAGAATCACAAAGCTGGAAGAAACCTAAAAAATTATCTGGTCCAGTTCTCTTTTTGTAGGTAAGGAGGCTGAAGCCCAGGAAAATTACATGTCTTACCCAAGGTCTCCATTTTTCCTTATTCTAAGTTCAGTGCTTTCCCCGCTACAACATGCTGAAAATAAAATCTGTGTCAATTGAATCATTTTAAGTGCATGGGGTGGTCACTCATTAAAAGAACCCTTTGAGATACGTTCTTGTTAAAAAAAAAAGGGAACTCTTTTGTAATGTGCATAATCGCCTCATTATTATTAGTTTTGTGGGGCTCTCTGGAAGAGATTCACAATTACTGAAAAGAATTTTAGTCTAACCATTCACACAGGAAAAATCAAGTGGGTGAAGAATGCCCACTGGTCAGAGGAAAGAAGGAAAGAAAAGAAGAAAGGAAGGAAAGAAGGAAGAGAAAGAAAGAAAAAAGAAAGACATCTGTGTATGTGTGTGTCTGTGTGTCTGTGTCTGTGTGTGTAGGAGACACAGTGCAGATGAACAGTGAATTGGACTGAGATGAACAGGACAAGGAAAGTGGGCTAGGTTGCCTTCAGGAAATTTCAAAGCATCTTTAATGACCCCAATCTTTTACTGAAAACAAAGAGCCATCTGTTTAACAGTAGTATTCTCTCTAGTGTTACAGCAAGACATGGAATATAAGTCTCTGCAGAACTGAATTCAAACTTCACACATAGGGCAGAGGAGAGATTCATGTTGGGTGGGAGCAGGCTCCAATATCTAACAGCTGAGGTCCTTGTTAGAACAGGAGTACGAGACATTTTCACTGTAATTATGAAAGGAAGAGAAGATGGGCTGGTCATGTGGTAAGAGCAGGGGATGACATGTAGACTGCCAGAATGCACCAGTGATACAATTTTGATGTTGGGAGAAAAAAGCTAAGATCTTAGCATGTTGGGTAGATGTCCTATGGTGAACTTGTGGGAGGACAAGAGTTGCCTGGGCTGGATTGGGATCTGCATCATTGAAAGGAACAACTAAACCAGTGACATCACCCATCTGTATGAGTACTGTAGTATCACCTTTATGTTTAAAAGTTTGACTACAGAGTTTTAAAGGTTACCGTAACATAAAGTACACCAGGAGCTAGCAACAAATCTTGCATGCCTTCAGAAAACTGAAGAAGGAATGCAGAACCCCACATCATTCTCCTTCTTCTCCTTCTCCTCTTTACTACCTTATAGACCTTGGCAAGTCACTTAACTTCTGTTTGCCTCAGTTTCCTCAACTGTAAAATGGGCATAATAATACTACCTACCTTGTAGGATTGTTGTGTGGATCAATAGATCCACAATTAGATACAAAAGATAATATTTGTTTAAAGCACTTAGCTTAGTTCCTGGCACACAGTGGGTACTATATAAATACTTACTCCCTACTCTCCTCTTCTTCCTCGTGTCTATCCTCCTGATCCATTTCATCTTCCTCTTAATCATCACAGGCATATAAAGCTCTTTCTTCTTAAAAAGCCTGGTGAAATAGATAGTGCAGATATTCTTAATCCTAATTTTTATATGAAGAAACTGAGTCTCAGAGTCAAAAGTCTTGCCTATCCATAGTCATATAGCTGGTAAGTTTTATAGCCAGGCTTTGAACCCAGATCTCCTGATTCCCAAGTCCATTAAGTTTTCTGCTACACCCCACTCTTTGCAATATGTTCTGCTGCTTGTCCAGATAACAGTCAATTCTATATAATTCTATGGAATATACAGTTTATATATGTAATTTAATATAGTCAACTTGAAGGAGATTTAGAAATAACAAAAATTTTATTATTTATCATTGTATTAATCATTTGTACTTGGCTTTAGCACATTGACAGAGAGAAACACTTGAATGTCCAAGTGCCTACATTTTCTTTTTTCATTCCTGACCCAGCAGTCTTATTGTCTGAGGCCAGGGGCTTAGTTGGACAGTGCAGGGAGAGAAAGCATGAAACTTTGGATGGCAGCTCCAATGATGAATCAGGAAGGCAATGATTTAGAAATGTTTGGCATACTTCTACCGTTTTGAAATTTAACAAATGCCTTTTGACCCAACAATAGCACTTCTAGGGCTATATCCCAAAGAGATCATACAAATGGGACAAGGACCCACGTGTACAAAATTATTTATAGCAGCTCTTTTTGTGGTGGCAAAGAATTGGAAATTGAGAGAATGCCTATCAACTGGGGAATGGCTGAACAACTTGTGGTATATGAATGGAATGGAATAGTATTGTGCTATAAGAAATAATGAACAGGCAGACTTCAGAAGACCTGGAAAGACTTGCATGGACTGATGCTGAATGAAGTGAGCGGAACCCGGAGAAAGTTGTACACAGTAACAGCCACATTTTGCGATGACTAATATTGATAGACTTAGCCCTTCTCAGCAATGCAGGGATCTAAGACATTTCCAAAGGTTTCATGATGGAAAATGCTATCCACATCCAGAGAAAGAACTATGGAGTTTGAATGCAGATCAAAGCATACTATTTGCTATTATTTTCTTCTGTTTTATTTTGTTTTCTCCTTCTTGTGGTTCCTCCTTTTGGTTCTAATTCTTCCTTACAACATGACTAACATGAAAATATGTTTAATAGGAATGTATGTGTATAACCTATATCAGATTGCGCACCCTCTTGGGGAAGGAGGTGGGAAGGGAGAGGGAGAAAAATTTAAAACTCAAAAGCTTATGGAAGTGATTGTTGATAAATCAAAATAAATTAATAAAAAAAAATTTAACAAATGGCAAGGAGAATTAAGTGGAGAAAATGTCTCCAGTTCTGTTAGAGACTATGTCCTGTGTCTTCTCCAGCTTTCTTTTTCCAATGACTTTCATACTACTGACTCAAAAGTATTTGTTGGTAATCATCTTTAAAGTTAAATAGCATAGTGTAGTGGATTGAGAGCCAGTCTCAGTGTTAGGAAGACCTGGATTCAGGTTCCAGCTCTGACACATACTGGCTTTATGACCCCAGGCAAGACACTTAACCTCTCAGTAACACAGGCAACAAACTCTATTAAGACTGTCAAGTTGCAGAGCAGGTGATATCCTGCATTGGTGGAAAGCATTCCCTGTTCCAATATAATCACAGGTCCAGTAAAGAAAAAAAAAAGTAATTAAGAAGTGACTACAGCCTCATGTGAATGCAAATCACAGTTTATTGAAAGTGAATAGGAAAGAATGCTAATGTCACTCATTTTACTATCTGTGTACCTCATAGAATTATGAAACATAGGACTTTGGAACTGAATGGCATATCCTTGTGGAAAGGCAAAATGATGAAAACATGTTAACGGGCCAACAAATTTTCTGAGCTATCTTGAATCTTCAGCTGCTAAATATTAGGAACATCTTTGTCCCATAGACATTTGAAACTCAACATGTCCAAAACCGAACTCGTTTCCCCCCTCCCAAAATCCTCCCCCGTTCCTGACTGTTACTATTGAAGGTACCACCATCCTCCCAGTCACCCGCGCTTGCTGGATCATCATCCTTGGCTCCTTACTATTTCTCACTTCCCCTTACCTAACCCATTGCTAGGGCTGTTGATTTTATCTTAATATTGTCGCTTGCACATACCCCCTTCTCTCACCTGGCACTGCAAGCCCTTATCACCACACTCCAGACCATCCTCCATTCAGTTTTTTTTTTCCCTAGGCGATTGGGGTTAAGTGACTTGCCCAGGGTCACATAGCTAGTAAGTCAAAGTGATCTTAAGTTGCAGGTCTAAGCATGTCATCTCACTATTCATTTAAACTCCAGTGGCTCCCTGTTACCTCCAGAATCAAATCTAAAATCCTCAGTTTGTCATTCAAAGCCATTTATAACCTGCCTCCTCTCCACCCTCAAGTCATCTTGTACCTTTCACACCCACTTCCCAGCCCCCCAACCCAGTACTTTGCAGTTCAGTTACATTGCTCTCCTTTGTATTTCTGCTGTCTGATCCCCCTGCAATTCCACCCCCCCACCACCACCCCATGCCAGGAATGCTCTTCTCCTCATCTCTACTTTCTGGCTTCCTTAGCTTTCTTCAAGTCCCAATTAAAATCCTATCATTTATAGGAAGCCTTTCTGAATCCCTCCTTTCCCCTATTGATTTTTCAGTTTATTCTGTATATAGCTTGTTTGTACATGTTGTTTATATCCTGTCTCCTCAGTTAGACTGTGAGCTCCTTGAGAGCTTTTAAAACTTTCTTTGTATCTCCAGCCCTTAGCACACAGTGCCTAGCACATAGTGCCTATGCAGTAAATGTTTTTTGACAGTCTGATTGCATAGCCTGTTTCAGATAGTGATAAAATCATTATAAGCAAGAGTTGAATTGAGATTGGGTAGAATGAATGAGAAGGGTCCTGAGCTATTAGTAGAGGGCCAACTCCTGCAGAGATGAAATCTTCACAGAAAGGAATTGCTTATTTGCAAAAAACTTTCTTCCTAATGAGAGGCAGCTTGGTGCAGTAGAAAGAACTGGGTTAAAATCCCATTTTTATTCCCTGCTACCAGTGTAATTAACCTTGAGCAAACCACTCTGGAACTCAATCTCCTTAGCTAAGGTGGGTGTAGGTGGGTGTTGGTCTAGATATCTCCAAAGGTCCTTTTTTGCTTTAAATCTATGCCTCTTTGCCACCCTGATGTCATCTTACACCTTTCACACATCTATGATCAATCCTCTAAATCTATGGTCCTCTGATCCTTGGAAGGTGTACTTTATGAGGAAAATGCTTTTTTAAAAAAACAAACATTTTTATTTATATCTTTTGTTTTTACATCTAAATTTCCCTTTGTATCTCTTCTTTTCCCCCCTTCCAGAGGGTCATCCTTTATAACAAAAAATTTCTTTAGAAGAAGAGCCCAGGGGCAGCTAGGTGGCACAGTGGATAGAGCGCTGGGCCTGAAGTCAGGAGGACCTGAGTTCAAATACTTGACACTTACTAGATGTATGACCCTGGGTAAGTCACTTAACCCCAATTGCCTTAAAAAAAAAAAAAGAAGAAGAGGAGAAAAAATATCAACAACAATGATCAATACATTCAAAAAATCTGACCATATATACAATGTTCCTTAGCCAAAGACACCCCCCCCAATCTCTGCAGAGGAGGGTATGTGTATGTGTAGAGGTGTCTTCTTATATCTCTTCTTGGGGGCCAAATTTGTTCTTTGTAATTTTGCAATGTTCATTTTTGATTGTTTTGTGGTTCCACTGAAACTGTTGTATGTTGTTTTCTTGACTTTTCTTACTTCTCTTTGCATCAGTTTAGGCAAGTCTTTCCATACTTCTCTATTCATCATGTTCATCATTTTTTACAGTACAATAATATTCCATTATATTAATTTTGTTTATCCATTTGCTTATTTTGTTTATCCAACACCACAATTTGTTCCTCCATTCCCCAGTTGATTGGCATATTTGTTTCCAAAAAATAATTTATTTATGAAAAATACTCTCTTGCCTCTCAGGATCAGTCCTTGTCCCATCTTCAGTTCATCTCATTATTGCTAAATATTGAAGCAGTATGTCCCATATGAATACAGTAGGACAAGGATACGTGTCATTAAATAAATATTTATTTTGGACCAGAATGATTTAAGCCTATCTTGCTTTCTTCAGAACCACCCAGGATATCAATCTCTGCCAAGTACAGTGGGAATCTCTAATTATGACCATTTGTTCTGCCAAGCCTGGGAACAAGTGGGCTAAGTTGAAGGGCGTTCTGGCAGCAACACCGCTGAATTTCCTTCCGCTTGTGCTCAACACTTAAAACTAAACCCCATTTTAACTGGTCTTAGGCTTTTATCAGAGCAGTAGCAGGCTCTCTGTTTTGTGGTAAGAAACAATTAGCCCCTAATTGCCATCTTTGAAGATTTCTTCTTCGTATATACAGAAATCAAGAAGCATTTACATGGTAAATAAAATGCTTTAAACACCATTGCTTCACTCAGGCTAGTCTAATAAGGATGGTAGATCTAAAATTTTATCTTTTAGGCTCTTTCTATCATGAAAAGAACTTTCTAAAAGAAATTTATTTTTATTGATAACTTTTGCTTTTGTATCATCTTTTTTTTTTTTTTAAATATATCCCCTTCCCTGTCCACTGGGCTATTCCTTATGACAGATTTAAAAGGAGGCAGAAAAAAAGCAGTTCAACAAAACCAACCAACATATTCAGCATGACTCGCAGCATGTCTAGTATTTTAAACCCATGGTTCCCCACTTTTTCCAAGAGGGGAGAATTGTGCGTTTTCTCAGCTCTCCTCCCAACCTAAGCTTGGTTTTTATGATTACATAGCATTCAGTTCACGAAAAAGGAGTTTTAAAAGGGTGACAGTGTTATACCTTCTTATTCAACATTATGTCCTTGCCTCCTCTTGTTAATATTAAAAGCAAATCCACATTTACTTGCTCAGATGAGTATTTTATAGCTGCCATAAAAGACCAATCTTACTTGTATTGGTTGTACTGACTTGTTAGACACGCTGACTCCCCTTGATGGTTGCTGGGATTTCTCCTGACATCAGCTGTTTCTTCCAAACAGGAGACCTCATAATGCTAACTGAAACTTGCCTCCTTTGGGTCTTGTCCTTCAGAGTTACAGAATCCAGTTTTGGTGCCCTAAATCTTAGTCCAAGGGGACAGACATGATGTATAATGAGTATAGCAGCATGTAATTGCAAATGGAAATCATGAGACCTGAGTTCTAGTTTTATATGCCACCCTCTGTGTAATCTTAAATTACTTAATTTCTCTGGGCTTCAGTTTCTTTGGGCGGACTGATCTTCCAAAGTTTAAATCTGGCCTCACTTCCTAGCTGTGTGACTCCGGGCAAGTCATTTGACCCTGTTTGCCCCAGTTTCCTCATCTGTAAAATGAATTGGAGAAGGAAATGGCAAACCACTCCAATATCTTTGTCAAGAAAACCCCAAAGGGGGTTGGTCATGAAGAGTCAGACACAACTGAAATGACTTAACAACAACAGTTTCCTCATCTATGAAATGAGTGGTCAAGATTAAACAATCCTGATTATCCCATTGCCATGGAACATGATAAGTTCAACATATATCTTACTTGAAACTACCGAAGTACACACTTGCTTTCCCACTTAATCTCATTTTTATTTGAATAACAGTAACTTGAAGAAAATGTCTGTTGGCTTCTCAGTGTGGACACCAGTGGATATCTGCCTAATATTTCATTGGGCTTCTTAGTTCACACTTTTCCTCCCCTATTTGGCTTCCGTCCTTGTGGCCACTTGAAGGGATCAGCTGTAACACAGAGAATACCCTGGCTAGGTATAGCCAGTTCTTTCTTTAAGCTTTAATTACGCAATTTAGGTCTTTACTTCAGGTTGGTTATAGTTCCCTGTAGCAACATACTGACTTACTTTTCTTTCCTTGAGAGAACACCAGTGAAAATAGGGTTTAGTTGTAAGTGCCGAGCACAAATGGAAGGAAATTCAATAGTGCTGCTGCCAGAATGCCTGTCAGCATCTATTAACTCTATAGCAGGTCCTATAAGTCTTTCCATGGTTCTCTGAATTCTTCATATCCATAGTTTCTTATGGCATAGTAATATTCCTTTATATTCTTGTTCCACAATTTTGTTCCTTAGTTGGTGGTCATCTACTTTATGTTCAGTTCTTTGCTTCCATAATTGTTTTGGTTTGACCCTTTTAGGGTTTATATACTTCTGCCACAAAGGGGGTGTGTGTGTGTGTGTGTATGACTTTTTAGCACAATTACAAAATGCTTTCCAGAGTAGATGAACCACCAGGAAGTTTGATCAACAGTATATCGGTGCATGGCTATTTAAGTTAAAGTTTTCAGTGAGTAGCACCTAATTCATGATAGGCATGCTTTGAAGATAGAAGATGCTTAGAAAATTGGGACCTCCTACCATTCCCTGCCTTTAGAGTCCTTGGAATTATCAGTCACATAGTTACTGAGGAGGTGCCCCCTTTGAAGACATCCGAGAATGAGTAGAGGCTTACTGGAGAGGAGTTTTACACCATCCTTTTGTTATTGACCAATAATCTGAATATAATAATCTAAAGATACATGTTTTGGGATTTTTTAAATAAGGTTAGAAACTGAATTTGTGATTTTATTTTATGGGGAACTCCCAGATGAGAAGCTGCCTCCATCAAGAAATATTGGTACTAAAAATATTCATAGCAGCTCTTTTTGTGGTGGCAAAGAATTGGAAATTGAGAGGATGCCCATCAATTGGGGAATGTCTGAGCAAGTTGTGGTATATGAATGTGGTGGAATACTATTGTGCTATAAGAAATGATGAACAGGCTGACTTCAGAAAAATCTGGAAAGATTTATATGGTCTGATGCTGAGTGAAGTGAGTAGAACCAAGAGAACATTGTACACAATAACGGCGACGTTGTGTGATGACTAATATTGATAAACTTAGCCCTTCCTGGCAATACAAGGATCTGAGATATCTCCAGAGGCCTTGTGATGGAAAATGCTATCCATATCCAAAGAAAGAACTATGGAAGTTGAGTTGCTATTTTTTTTCCTTTCTTCTGTTGAGTTTCATTTCCTCTTTCTGATGGTTCCTCCTATTGGTTTTAATTTTTACTTACGACATCACTAATGTGAAAATATGTTTAATATGAATGTAAATGTATAGCCTATATCAGATTGTGTGCCGTCTTGGGGAGGGGGGTGGAGAGGAAGGGGGAGAAAAATTTTAAACTCAAAGGCATATGGAAGTGATTATTGATAAATCAAAATAAATTAATAAAAAAAAAAGAAATATTGGTACTTAGAGAGTTGCTTAGAACAGAGATGTCAAATTCACAGGTGGCAAAACTCCCTCGTGGGGCCAGAACCAGATTAAAATGTAATTGAGAAGGGCTGCTAGGTGACGCAGTAGCTAGAACACTGACTTTAAAGTCGGGAGGACCCAAGTTCAAATCTGGCCTCAGATACTTGACACTTACTAGTTGTGTGACCCTGGGCAAGTCACTTAACCCCTATTGCCTCACCAAAAAGCCCCCCCAAAAAATGTAATTGAGAAATGTTTAATAAAATAAATAAAAATACAGTACCACATAGATAATGTTAATGTGTGGTTTTCTAAGTCAATATGTGGGCTGGAGGGATCCTTATTTGAATTTGATAACCCTGGTTTACAACACTGAGATTTTTTTTTCATTTTTTTTATTAATCTATTTTTAGTTTTCAACAATCACTTACATATGCTTTTGAGTTTTAAATTTTTCTCCCCCTCCCCAAGATGGTGCACAATCTGATATAGGCTCTACATATACATTCCTATTAAACATATTTTCACATTAGTCATGTTGTAAGGAACAATTAGAACCAATAGGAAAAAAACACAAGAAAGAGGAAACAAAACAAAACAGAAGAAAAAAGCAAATAGCAAATAGTATGCTTTGATCTGCATTCAAACTCCTTAGTTCTTTGTGGGTGTGGATAGCATTTTCCATCATGAGACTTTTGGAGATGTCTTAGATCCTTGCATTGCTGAGAAGGACTAAGTCTGTCAAAGTTAGTCATTGCACAACGTGGCTGTTACTGTGTACAATGTTCTCCTGGTTCTGCTCACTTCACTCAGCATCAGTCCATGCAAGTCTTTCCAGGTTTTTCTGAAGTCTGCCTGCTCATCATTTCTTATAGCACAATAATATTCCATTCCATTCATATACCACAAGTTGTTTAGCCATTTCCCAATTGATGGGCATCCCCTCAATTTCTAATTCTTGGCCACCACAGAAAGAACTACTATAAATATTTTTGTACATGTGGGTCCTTTTCCCATTTTTATTATCTCTTTGGGATACAGCCCTAGAAGTGCTACTGGGGAGTCAAAGGGTATGCACATTTTTATAGCCCTTTGGGCATAGTTCCAAATTGCTCTCCAAAATGGTTGGATCACTTCACAACTCCACCAACAATGCATTAGTGTTCCAATTTTCCCACATCTTCTCCAACATTTATCATTTTCCTGTTTTGTCCAATGTTGGCCAATCTGATAGGTATGTTAGAACACTGAGATGTTAAGTGACTTGAGATACATAGCCTCTATGTGTAGAAGCCAGGACTTCAAACCAGATTGTGCTGGCTCTGAGACCAACTCTTCAAACACACTACATTCTGCTCCCTCTAATATTTTTTAAAAGTAGTCAGTAATTCACAGCTTTCTCTTATTTGTTAAATTTCAGAAAGCTCTAAGGATAAGCAGAATATAGAGATCGTTGGTTTCCATAATTCATCTGTGTAGTGATGGGAGGTGCCTTTGTACTGTACACATTCACCTGAGGTTCTAGGTCATTTCTGCTTCTCCTTCCTTCTTACTATACATCTGGTTCGGGACCTTAGAGTAAGCCCTCCTACTTTCTTCTCCTAGTATGTGTTTAAAGTGTCCTCAGGATTTCTGAGATTGTGCTAGGACTCCTTGCCTCCCTGGAGTCCAAACAGTTTTTCTTTGGATGTGTACATCCCTACAATGACTTTTAGCTTGGATCAGGTCTGGTCCTGATGACATAATCTTACATCCCCTTGAATATTTTGCTCTTAAAATGATTCTGTAACCCCATTTTGTAATAATTAGACATTGAAATCAATGTTTCTTTCCTTCTTCCCATCCCCTAAATGGAGGAATTCTGAAAGCTTCTGTCCTTAGTCCTCTGTTTCTTGATACATCCTTGGAAGATTTTATCCACTTCAATTTGATCCACATGTGCATTATATTCCAGTCCACAGATTCCCTCCTTCACTTGTCCTTGGCTCTAGTCTCATGTTTCAGCCTACCTGCTCTGCCTCTGAGACCTCAGACTCAACACATTTGTAACTGAACTCTTATTTCTTTGCCTAACCAGCTCTTTCTCCTGACTTTTCAGTTGTTGTTAATGGTATCAAGCTCAGAACCTCAGAGATCTTTGACTCTTCCCTTTGCCTTACTTCTCAACTTCCAATCAGTCTATGTGGCCTGTGGTTTCTTGGTAGGAATATACATATATCACTGCCTTTCCATTCCTATCCCCACCCTAATTCCAGTCTGTGTTGCCTCATGCCCAGATTATTTGAATAGCCTTCTAATGGTTATTTTTGCATTCCTCTCCCTCATAACCTCTAATGTCTACCATCTTCTGTTACCTACCACATTACCATAAGCTTAATCTTCCTATAGCATCATTAGATCATCATTTCCCATAAAATCTATAGTATTTCCACACTGCTTAACTTGATTATTTGTATCCAATTTACATTTCCAGCCCTGTCTCTCTCAATGTCAAGAGGTCTTAACCATTTTTTTGTGTCCTAGCCTGCTTTGGCAGTCTGATAAAGCTTAGAACCTCTTCTCAGAATAGTATTTTTAAATGCATAAATTAAAAAAGTAGGATTACAAAGGAAACAAATGACATTGGAATAAGTTATTAAAATACTTAAAATAAAAGTTCACTAACCCCAGATTATGAACTCCTTCAATAAATCAGCATGACCCCTAAATTTTCCACAAACTGAATGGTTCATTGTTTGACAAATGTCTCATTTTTTCCCATCTCAGTGTTTTTATTCATGCCATTTCCTCCTGCCTCATGGCTAATATAGAAATTTGTTTTGCATGTCTACACACATTTGTAATGGTTTTTAAATTTTTCTTGCCTTCTCAGTAGGTGAAGGTAGGGGGAAGAAGAGGAGACGGAATGTGGAATTGAAAATAAAATTGAATAAAAAAGAAAGAAAAAAAATTCTTCCCCTTTTAATGCCTTTTGTTGCCTTCTCTGCATGGTGAAATTCTCACACTTTCATCAAAGTGCAACTTAAATGCCTTCTCTTCCATCACTCTTTATCTGATCTACTGGAATGAAGAGATTTTTCGTTGTTTATTTCATGGCAATTTGCATTGACACATCGTTCTCCCTCATAGAATCGAAATTTCATGAGACCAGGGACCATGTTTGATTCACTTTTGTGTCCTTTACAAAATCTAGCACAGTGTCTACCACCTAGTAGGCACATTATGAATATTTGGGAATAAATGAAGCAGAGAATTTTTTTTAATATATATTTTGTATTCCTGCCTCACAAAACTCTCTTGGCATGTGAGCACACATTCTTTAACTTAAGAGAAATATTTTTGCTGCATATTTCTCACATAAAACCATTGGCATCAAGAATTATTCTTGGATTTACAACTAGTAATAGTAAAGGAATCCAGTAAAGTTCAGGCCATACTCAGTGTAATTAATTTCTTTAGTTTACCTTCCCAAGACCAGGCTAATCTTGGACGATTCATAATAAATATCCCTGGCATTTGTATATCTGCTTTATCCTTTCCAAAGCACTTGTATTTCTGTGCTCTCGTGTGATCTATACAGTAATCCTGTAAAATGGGTAAATAGGTGGGGCATTTGTTATATGAAATAAATTGAAAAGCATCTTCAACAAAATCACAGTCTCAGAGTCGTGGGACCAGAACCTTGGTATTCTCAGTCCTAACTGACTGTTTTTCCACTATGGCGTATTAGAGCAAACAGAACATTGTCCCATCGTTATCACTGAATTAGCACCATAGAAACTATTTTTAAATATGTGAGTGATAACTTTTTAACCTCAGTTTGTTATAGTATTTAAAAAAAAAAAACCCTTATTTTATTCTTAGTAAGACCTGAGCCAGGTTTCTCTGGTTAATTCAGCTACTCTTGAGAATGAATTTCTGCTGCAGCAGTCATATGTGCCTTATCTCTCTGTTGTTCCATATTGTCTTTCAATGAATAGCATATTTTAAAATGAACTGGGAAAGTGAAATATTGCTTAAATATCCAAATATATTCTGGCTTGTATTTATTGAATCCATTGTGAATGTATTCAGGTAGCTTGGCACCAGTTTTAACTTGTGAGGGAGCTTAAGAAGGCTGGCTGCCTTCCATTCTGATTTCTTATTTAAACGGAGGTGCTTTTTGGCATTTAGGAATAGTTGGGGATGATCTAGACTCTAATAGTAACAAAATCCCCGCAGTCTCTTGCCAAGACGTCAAATCCTGCCTACTTGATCTTGCAGTGCAAATTGGGAGTTGCAGCAGATGGGCTGTGCTCCTCTTAAAAGGCTGAGCCGCTAAAGGCTTGCCAGTGTTGCCTCTCTCCACCCTGCCTTGCGCATTTTAGATTCTTCTCTCCAGGGGCATGCTGCTGTGGGTCTCTTCTTCCCTCCGGCACTGTTTGGTTAGATTTTGTAGGCTTTTCTTCAGGGAAAGCTTACATGGCTTATAAAGAAAAAGAATGGCCAGGTTACTTGCCCAGCTCTCACCAAACAGGACTAGCTCTGCAATATTCATGATGAGCTCATCTCTGGGAGAACCATTATCCCTCTGAAGTTTGAGCCTGGACCTGTTGAGTAGCATAATATTGTAAAAGAGACGACAGGCAAACATGATCAGGGTGATGGTCAGCATGACCAGGTAAATGGGCCTGTTGTCTTTCTGTGGATGAGTAGCTCTCCGTACCAGCTTCCCAATGATTAGGGTAAAGAAAACCACTTCTATAATCAATGTTACCCCAAAACCCAAGCTGAATTTGACAATCTCATATTCAGGCCAGGCTGTCAGCGGGTCCACTTGACACAGGGTACTTTTAAGTAACGAGCCAGCTATGCCTAGAAGCATCACCCCTCCCAGGGAGCTGCTGAAAGCACAAGCAAAGACAAGGCTTAAGTTTCCCAGGGGCTTTTTGATCAGTGTCACCACCCTCAGACAGGGCAAGTAATCCTGGAACAGGAACGTATAGAGCATGGCAATCTGAATGTATTGAGCATTGAAGTAACAAATGTTGAAGAAAAAAGAAAGTACCCCGCAGCCCAGGTTGGTGGTTGGTATGTAATCTGGTCTAGTTATGGCAGTGAATGAAAACAGGGTCACCAGAAGGTTTGTCATAGTCAAGTCCAAGAGGTACAGGTCCAGTTTTTCCAGCCTAGTGTGCCTCTTTATAAAGGTGGTCAGGTTGAATGTGCCGGCCACCAGACTTGTTGGGACAAACAGTGCAATGTAGATGTGCATAAATCTTGATATGATGTTCTGTGACCTTATGATATCTTCAATTTCAATGAAGTCTTTACTTGGATATTTTATCCACGTCATGTTGTGTGAGATCATCTTCTCAGGAAGGGCTTTAGGGAAATGAAGTCACAATCTGTAAAAGAAACAGATCCAGAAATGACCTCTGATTGATTGAAGCACCAAGAGTGGATGGTTGGTCATAACGGGACGGTCATCATTTTAAAAGAAGGTGTTGGGGGTTTTTACCTCAGTGCCAGAAGAAGGCTTGTTTTCAATCACTTTCTTTTGTGGACAGCAAGTTTCAGGAAACCTGGGGCATTCTTTGGGGAAAGGTTCTAGAGCAGGGATGGGGAACCTGTGGCCTTGAGGCCATATGTGGCTCTCTAGGTCCTTAAGTACAGCCCTTTGACTAGATCCAAACTTCACAGAATGAATCCCTTAATAAAAAGATTTGTTCTGTAAAACTTGGACTGAGTTAAAAGACTACACCCAAGGACCTAGAAGGCCACATGTGGCCTTGAGGCCACAGGTTTCCCACCCTTGTTCTAGAGGTTCCTAGTAAAAGTAGAATTCCTAATACCCACTTGAAAAAGTATAAAATTGCAAAATGGACAAAATATGTTCTTCTGACCTTCTGGTTTCTCTCCATGTCTTTGTCCTCCAGGTACCTGTGCTCCTACACCTCCCCTAGTCTTTCTTTCCCCATGTGCCTCATGTTCTCAAATAGATATTCATTCACCCAAAGGCCTTCCCTTCCATTAGAATTCCCATTTACTGAGATTAATCTCAGTAATTGAGTATTCGCTCAGCATTGATCCAATTGAAATAATTTATACTAATGTGTGAACAGTCAATATACCACACCTTCATCATATGTCTCAGGAGAGTAGTTAGTTGGTACAAATCCACCTCCAAAGAATGGAATGAGATATTTTTGATCAGGGGATCTTCTTTCTGCTTGCCTTGTCCCATGCGTCCCTTTCTTCGTGTGTGTGTGTGTGTGTGTGTACACTCACCCATAAAAATACCAATTAATCTATCGGGTACAAACATGCTCTTCCATATACACAAACATGACCTTCCATATACACAAACACTTTCATGTTTGCAAGTAGCTCAGCACCTTAGAGGATCAGTAAAAAGTCATCAGGAGAAGAGATGGTACACATTAATGTATGTAATATTCAGATTCAAAACCAAGAACGGCAAGTGGTGGCTTCCCTTCCTGTCCACCCTCTCAGACTATCCCTGGTGAGGACACCATATTTGATATTCTCCAAGATTTGAGTCATAAACCAAAATGAGTTTTTTTCAGTAACTTCCCCATTCCTTTTTCCAACAAGGAATTTTTTTACTTCCTTAAGTCTATAATTTATTCTAAATATAGTTTATATGCTATATTATTAGGCACTTTACCCAAATTCCAAAGACAAAACCATAGAAAAAGCAAAGAATAATTATAAGAGTTGATTCTTAGTCTCTGATCTATTTGAGTTCTGAATTTGAGTATTTTTGTTTCATATTTTGGAACTCTCATGCATTTTAAATTTTTAAAAAATTCTGCTATGGAAATGATAGAAAATTTCACAGTGTGGCCATAGCAGCCATCATATTTTTAAAAATAATTTCCATTGGATTGCAGTCTGATTTATTCCTTTTCAGCCTGGAGTACATTTTTACTGCTAAGTTGTAAATTCCCAAAGTTAGAGGTTTCACCGACAGTGTTGACAGACTGTTAGCTATAATGGTCCCATCATGTATCACTCTAATAATTCTGTTTCCATACCGAATGGCTTCTCTTTTTTTCCTTTTAACTAAACAGTAGGCTGTGTTGCAAGATATAATTGCTATTTATTCAAAGGAAATTGAAGGCCATAAATTCAGAGGTATAACTTTAATAGAATACCTGAAGGCTTGGTGGGTATAACTGAAAAATGGTAGTTAGCATATACTTTCTGTGATAAATAAATATCCCTAAGAAGTAGAGTCATTGTAGATTACAGAATTGATTTGCTATGAAGAATGCATATTTTATTTGAAACATGTATTTGCTATAAAATAATGTGATGGGTTTTTTTGGGGGACAGGGGTCCATACATACTACAGCTTGTCTATTTCAATAAATCTTGTCCCTTTCAAAGTAGTCTTTTTTGAGAGGCTGTACACTTATACCAATAATACCATAATTGTTCAAGAGCTTTTTGGAACTCCTGTTTGGTACTTATGTAGTGAACTGGAAAGAGATTCAGTGGATTTGGGTTCAAATCTCAGCTTTGCCACTTTATCTTTATGTGACTGTGAATAAGCCATGTAATCTCTCTCTACCTCTTCTGCTGAATGAATAAGGGTTTGGATGAGATGATCTTCAAGATCTGTTTCATCCCTAAATCTTTGATATTATGACTGTAGCTGAAAGAAGGCTCAGATCTCACCCAACCTCCTCAGTATAAAGATGTGGAAATTGAGGCCCAAAGAAGTGACTTGTGGAAAATGACAAAAGATAGTCCTTGCTGTAAGAGATTTGGAAGCCAGGTCCTCTGACTCCAAATCCAGTGCTTTCTGCACTGAAGCAGGCTGCCTCACTTGTCTTCAGACCTTTTGTAGTCCCCTTGGCATCTAACACAATCCCTTGCACATGGTAAATCTGTTAAATTGTTTTTTCAAAATCAAACGCAGAGGTTGAAGGAGGATGTGGTAATGAAAAGAGGCCTGGATTTGGAGTCAGAAAACCCAACTACAGATCCTAGCTTTGCTTCTTTCTCCCAGTGCTGATGTTGGGCAAGTGATTTTAATTACCCTGGGCCTTGGATTCCTCCTCTATAAATTGCAGGGTCAAGGTAAAATGATCCATAAGGTCCCTTCTAGCTTTAGATCCTATAAAACCATATATGACATTCAGCATCAATAAGTTTTCACCAATGGACCAGTCTTTAGTGTCACATCCAAAACATTGGTGAAGTTATCCTGCCATAGTTATAGGTAACTTTAAGTTACCTGATAAAAGATTGGTGTCACCTCCCAGAGAAAAAGCCACACCTCTCCTGGAGAGGCTTGTCACAAGCCAGTCTAATGTGAACAGTGAAGTTGCCTGTGGTTTCTTTTTCGAAAACTTAATGTTAACAAAGGTGAGAAATAAGCTAGGATATTAGCTTTTTCAGTGAACTAGAATAGCAAGTTATGAGGGGGGGCGGGGAAGAAAGGTCGAAAGTTGGATATTGACCTAGATTTATAGCTGAAGCAAGATGTAGTAGAGAACTCTGATCTTCCCCTGGAGCCAGGAAGACTTGGGGTCATGTGTTGCCTCTGACTTATACTGGCTATGTGACCCTGGGCAAGTCAGTGAAACTGTCTAAACTCTGTCTAAAAGCAACTATCTAAAACTCTGTACTGATCTGATCTACTTTGGTAAATGCAATTCCTTACCAGAAGAGGAGCTCCTTACAGCAATGACATCCCAGATTTATTCCCTAATCTTGGTTTGTTCCCACCAGACTTCTTCAGTTTATTGGCATTAGTCATGTTCAAATTCAGTTTAATTTTTATGGAGAAATGCACCCCCACTCCCTGTGCCCATTCACTAATCTTATATTAATATAGTAATACATTAACATTTTAAAAATTGAATTAATAATGAATAATTCCCCTTCCCTCTCTTTTCCAGATATCCTCAGACCCTTTGGAAACAGAAGTTTCTCAGGTATGTCTCTAGCTTTTTTTTTTTTTTTTGAAGGGCCATGGTTATAGGGCTTATAGCATTTCAGTATCAGCTTTCTTCCAGTGAGTAAAATAGTGAATAATCACTATGTGTGAACCCAGCATGACTTGAAAATTAAGAGCACAGACTGTCCTAAGAGGAAATTATCAGAATTTTTCTATAAGGCAAATTGGAAAGAGAATCTTTTGAACATTTACCATAGGTAGAAAATAAAATTATTTTAAACAGAATGTATTAAAGGGCATGAGATGTTAAATCTGGATTGATTGGGACTAATTGGACTGCTTCTCATTGGATGCTTGAGAATAAATGTTTTGTTTTGTTTTTAATAACCAGAGGCTGTCAAAATCCCTTGATTTAGGAAACATATTGTCACATTTCAGTTTTATGCTGTGTGGATTATCTGGAGCATAGGTTCCCAAAGTGGGCAATACTGCCCCTTGAGGGGCGCTGAAAGAATTGGGGGGGGGGTGTGGTAGTAGTTTGAAATGACACAAATTTTTAAAAAAAGTTAAAAGGTTAAGAAAGTAGATTTCCAGGGGGATACTGAGTAATTTTTTTTTTTTTTTGAAAAGGGGTTGGTAGGCCAGATATGTTTGGCAACCTCTGATTCTGGAGCTACCTCCAGCCGTTCCCTACTTTTACACAACCAGGGTTAGGGCTTCTGATTTTAGGCAGAGCTCAATGAGAAGGAGCTGTTTGTGTCTGAATGTTTCGTTTAAGCATGTGTCCTTGATTGTGCTCCAAAACAAAACAGAAGTGATCTTCAGTCATCCATTCCATTGTGTGTGCCTTTTTTCTTTTCCATAAAGACAATTTGACTCGAATTCAGCAGTGTGGCAAACCAGCCACAGCACTGCATTACTATAGATACTATAATATTCTAATAGGTGCTGCAGAAAACTGGAAGCAAAGCAGAAGTTATATCAATCAGCATCTAGGTGGTACAATAGATAGAGTCCTGGGCCTGGAGTTAGGAAGACTCATCTTCCTGAGTTCAAATATGGCCTCAGACACTTATTAGCTATGTGACCCTGGGCAAGTCATTTCACTCTGTTTGCTTCGGTTTCCTCATCTGTAAAATGAACTAGAGAAGGAAATGACAAATGACAAACCACTCCAGTCCCACAAAGAAAGTTACAAAAAGTTGGACATGACCGAAGATGACTAAGCAACAACATTTATATAGTGCTTATTATGGGCCAGGCTCTCTGCTAAGTGTCTTATAATTATTATCTCATTTGATTCTTACCAAAACTCAGGGAGGTAGAAGAGGAAACTGAGGCAAACAGGAATTAAATGACTTGCCCACTATCAGAGCTAGTAAGTGCCTGAGGCCAGATTTGAACTCAGATCTTCCTGATTCTAGCTCTAGCACTCTATCCACTGCACCTCCTAGCATTTATTAAGTACTTCCAATATGCTAGGTGCTAGGGGATACAATGACAAAATGAGACAGCCTCTGCCCTCCAGGAGCTTACATTTTGTTGGAGAGACAACAGTAGTCATCATGGTACAGTGGAAAGTACACTGGCTGTGACGTTAGCAGACCTGGACTTCCATCTCTGACATTAATATCTGGGTGACTTTGAGCAAGTCATTTAACTTCCCCAGGTCTCCATTTCCTCATAGGTAAAATGAGGGGGTGGGATAAGGGACTGCTGAGGCCCCTTCCACCTCTAAATCTGTGATCCTGTGATGCTTTGATCCTATGAAAAATAAACAAGATATGAACAAGATAAACAGGATAATTTGCTAGTAGGGTCGAGTTGGGAATCACGAATGGCTGCATGAAAGGTGTGGTTGCACTGAGCCTTGGAGGCAGTAAGGCCTGCTAAGAGGGAGAGGTGAGGAGGAGGACAGACACCGTGAGGGCATGGACACAGGCCAGGGGCGGCATGCGGGAGGGTGACAGCAGTGGGTGACACAGTGCGTGAAGAGGAGTAATGGAGGATAAGCCTGGGAAGGTTAAGGCAGAACTCCTTAGGGAGTGAAATATGAGTGATATTTTCTATGGTGGGATCCAGTAAAGGTGACTGAGGAGGACTGGTCAGACAGGCCGGAGACTATGGGAGGAGAAAGGAATGGTGTTTATAGCTTTCAGTGCTGCTTCCTCCTAGGCTGGCTTAAACTCTTCTGTGACTTTTCTTTCCTTATGCTTATTATCTCAAATGAGATGGTAATTGTAAAGCCCTTAGCATAGTGCTTCCCAAATAGTAAACTCTCTGTAAAGGTTAGCTATTGTTATTATTATTATTCCAGAGAATCTACTGTTATGTAAACTCTCCTCACCTGTCATTTACTATTTATTTTTTAGGGAGTGGGGTGAGGAAAAGATGGGTCAACAGTGACACATAAGCCTTTGAGATTTCCCTGTTTCCATAGGGACTCAAAGGGGTTGATTTAAAGAGGAAGAGTTTAGCTTAATACTGGCCTACATACTTGACACCTGGTGGTAAATTCTGGGCTGCTGAGAGTCAAACTTATCCATTTGAGCTTGGAACATTGTTGCCCTGGAAAAGTCTGGTGCTTAATTGATCAGACAAGCTCATCATTGGAATCCTGTGCTCACTTAATAGCCTTTGACTATTTGAGTTAAATGGTCTCTTAGTGATGTTACTATTTAATTTTGGAGCACTGAAATTATACTGCTTATCTGGATTTTGATTGGTTGCATGGTATGCTATTACTAGAACATCCGTCCTATTGAAAGAGTGCCCTTTCACCCCTCACTCCCCATATAGGAGTGGACAAACCCTAAGGCAGCATGAGTCTGTTTTTATTTTGAGTTATCTGTTTGGTAGATGAAGTGCATAATCTGTGTTTTCCAAGCTGTGGTGCGGTAGAAATATTTAATCATATCTGTCTTTTTCCTTATATTCTCCATAGTTTTCTTTTTTAGAGCATAAGGATATTGATTCCCTTCTGTAAGAACAAAAAACAGCTCCCTAGTTTCCTCAAATTGGAATCCTTTAGCCTAGGCTGAGGGTATTCCAACAATTGGTGCCCTACTTTACCAGTTCTTCCTTATTTTCTACTACATTGCCCTTGCTTTAGTCACCTTCCCGTTGACTGCAAATACCATTTTCATTACTATTTATGTACCTTTATCATACTTTTGCCCTCCACCCAAAAAGACCTTAGTCCTCAGTTTGATAGTACACTTCTTATAATTCATAGTCCTTTACACAAATTCACTGCTTTCGTGAAGACTTTCTTGCCAAATCTAACTACTTCTTTATTACTAAGGATAATTGACTCATAGAATTAATAGAGGTTTTTTAGAGTTGGAAGGGATTTAAAAATAATTTAAACTAGAGCCTTTGTTTTAAAGATGTGGACATTGTGGGCCAGAGATGATAAAGTGACTTTCCCAGGAAGAACACATCTCTTTAGTGGCAGAGCTGGGACTAGAAACAAGGTCTCTTAATAGATTCCTGCCATTTTCTTCTATATTACATTGCCAGTCCTAGGCCCTTACATATGCTTGAGATATACCACACTATGTTGTATCTACTTTAATATACTGTCATAGAATTATACTCTTTTTGTTTCATGTCTGCATCAGCTTCTTAACTAGATTGTAAGTTCCTCAAGGGCAAGAGCTATTTCTTCTACTTCTTTTGTATCCCCCATGGTACTTGGGCAAATAGCAGGTTCAGAGTAAACGCTTATTAAATTGAATGATGATGAGAAAGAATAGAGCCAAGAAAAAATAATAAGCAACCTTTTGGTAGCTTCTTCCAAAAAAAAAAATCACTTTAAGCTCAAAGTTGCCCACATGAGTACACATAAGCTTTGGGAAGATCTCTTTCAAATATATTGATAATGACCTTTCTAACCCTTTAGAAAAATCCTCCTAAACACAGACAGACACCTGAAGATTTGTTTGCTTGATTTTGATTTCCATTTTTCTGTGGATTCCTAAAGATGGTAGTGGTACTATAGAATGTAGAAGGTGACTGATAAGTTATTTTAATGGTTAAAATTTGGGCATTTGGCACAGGCGTGGATATTCTGTAAAGCAAAGGTTCTCAGACTTCTCTTTTTCCCCCCCTCTTGGCACAGAATTCTTTGTCATGAATAATTTAGGTTGGCAACTCTGCAGCAGAATTTGGAGACTCACATATACCCAGTTTCCTTTCATTAAGAGCAACTCTTTTTATTTAGAGTCCTTTGCAGCTACGGAGCCTGATGTGTTCTTGTGTTAGTGCATATGTGTAATAGGTGAATTTTTTAGTATGAATGCTATAGTTACTGTACGATGTAGTCTAAACTAGCAAAATCCATGTGAAACACAATTATTGATAAATTTTCTTTTATTTGCAATGGCATAATGTCCAAAATTTCATAGCACACCTGGCAAAACTCCTGGCACATTAGTTTGCCTCAGCATACTCTTTGGAAATGACTTCTATGAAGGAAGGCAGCATGAGGTTGTAGAAGGAACTTTGGGAAAGGAGTCCTGAGACCTGGGGGCTGGTCCCAGCTCTGCTACTTCTTGAGCTATGTGATTTGGGGGCAAATTACTTCCTCTTTTTTAGACCTCTATTTTCATCTATAAAATTTAGGCATTCAATTAGATTGCTTGTGAAGTCTCTTCTAGATCTAACATTCTCTGATATGAGATATAGGCAGTATGTATGGCTTGAAGTTTTTGCACTTAAGAAATGCCACTGGATTGATTAATCCTATTTTCTTTCTATAGATACAGAAGAGATAAAAAGCTGCTTGTTCTGATGGTGTTTTCCTTGTGGTTTGATTCTTTCCCTGCCTCAGCCCAAAGAGATTTACTTTTTCTTTCTTTTGTCATTATCTCTTTTTCCTGGTAGAAGTGAGCTTTTGTATCTCCTTCAGCCTCTATTAATATTTCCATTACTGTCTATGCAGCTCTTTCCAAACTTTCTGCCAAGTGAACTGTTGAGTAACCGTGTCAGATTCTTTTACATGGAATCTCAGTCTCACTTTGTGGTTCATAGCTT